TATTCTGCATTTAGTGCCATTCTTTAAAAATGTGGTTATGAAAGAACCTGACTCGCTGCTCGTTTCCTCTTTTATGCCCAAACACCATTTGTCTACAGCAGCTCACCCTGAGACCCCTCCATGCACTCTCCTTGCTACGGTGCAAGCAGTCCCAGGAGCTGCAAAGCAGCCGGGACTGGAACCAGCAGCCTGGCAGTGCTCCCCGCGCATCGCTTTGCACATGAAGATGTGAAACGCAACTGTAAATATTGTGAGGCCTCAGCCATTTCAGTTTGGTACACAGGGTGTGAGTCACCGGTTGCTGCACAGTGCCTGTGTTCGAGGCGTGTGTCAGCGCAATGGGAGAAGGCAGATGATACCGCTATTATGTGAAACCGCTGCCACCCACTGCAGTGACTCACCCGGCGTCACCCAACAGCATTTACATCAGCTTCAAAATACGTCTCCGTTATCTGTGCCCGTCTCAGCAGGTTATTTGTTTCTTCCTCCCGATCCTCCTCAGGTCAACAACAACAGGGCTGTGTGCTTTTCTACCGGGGGGTGGTACAGGGCTGGAGGTTCTGCCTTCCCGTTGTCAATTTGTCTGGGACTTTGGGGGGTGCAGAACCACAGCAGCATAACAGCGGCATTTTCCCTTTGCCCTAAATGGCTGAGCCCTTTCCTATGAGGGAGATTGTCTTTATTGGTTGAGATCTGCTGCCTCTACCAAGAGCAAGTCCATCTGCACTATCGTAAAGCACTGAAGGAACACAACTGAGCCCTGATCTCCATTTGCCTCTAAGTGCCAGTCTGTAAACAGCGAAGATTCGGGGGCCAGGAACCTAAGAGAAGGACCAGACAGTCTCACTGGTCACTGCTGACATTTACTACTGCTCTGTGCACCTGTGGGCAAGCAAATTGAAGGGGGCAGTGGGTCAGATCTGGGCGGGAGCATTCAGCTGGAGCAGCCAGCTGCTGCCTAGTGGCAATGTGGTGTCTTGCAACCGTTTTGTGACTGGAATAATATTAAATAATTGCATTCTTATTTCTTTGGGAAAGTTAACTCAATTATTAGTTTCCTGGTTCTCTGTCATACTTTGTGTGCAAAGGGACATTTAAATACATTGGAGTATTTGGGTTTGAATTAACTGAAATCAGAATTAGAACATGGCTGGAAATTTGGCATTCTGGCTCTGCACCTTATTTCTCAAATTGGAGAAATTGAGTATTCCAGTGTTGGATTGCTGCCTGAGTAAATATATACACATTGAATACATCATATAAAACTAAAAAGACAAAACCACTAAAATATGTATCAAACATTCTCAGAACACAGAGGGAAACTACTGACAGAGCTCTTCCATCGTTGTGCAGTGATAAGAGCTGGATAAGAGCCGTATGGAGCAGTGGGAGAGCAGTGCTGTCAGAGGGGGCTACTGTCACCCCCAGGCAGCAGCAGCTCCTCAGCTGTCCCATACTGAGAGGTCTGCTGGGTCCATCTATCCATCTGTCCTGCTCCAGAGACACCAGAGCTCCAGGACTGTGTTTAAAATTTGCTTTCACCGCTCCCCCATTACTAATAAATGATACGGAAAGATCTCAGGTACAGCTCTGTCTGAAGGCACAAAGAAGAGCCCTCTGAGAGAGGCTCCTCTCACCTGCCCTCTGACCCAGACTGCACTCTCTGAAGTGTGGCATCTCACAGGCGTCTCGCACTCCCCAGATTCTCCACATTCTTTATTAGACATTCTCCATGCATCACTCTCCCTCGCGAGTACCTAATCCCATGTCAGTTTTTAACAGCCAGAAAGCTTTCTATGTATTTTCTTAAGCCACTTTTTGACCTTCAGATGTACTTACAGCAATGCGTCATTTTGAAAACCTCAATAATTTACTTTTCCCTAGGAACTGTTTGCAGGTGAAAGAAATCTGACTTCATGCCTTTGTTGGAACTACAGCTCACCAGAGATGAGGCTTTGCAAGAGCTTCTCATCACCAGAAAGCTGTGTCCCATTCCCATCTAGATTTCTTTCCAGAAACTATTTTCTTCCTGCCCAGTCAGCACTGGCATGTTGAGCAAAGAATAATTCCATTTTATTTTCCTTATCCCTTCATCATCACATAGGGAGTAGGCTTTGGAAATCCATTTCAGTATAAGTAACTTTCTCCTAGAGAGGTAAATTACCCGAATTTATAACCAGTGATATACAGGCATTTTGCTGTGGCACAGCTGAACAATGAGCTGAAGATTCAACACGATTTTTATCTCAGCAGTTATCAGTTAGCAGAGGTGTTTTGAATAATTTCTTCTTAGAGCGATATGACACTGCTGTTCTCCTTCAGAAGCAAAAATCTGAGACTCTGTACACTGTATAATGCATTTACATTGTTTTTAAGCATTATGGTTTTCTCTCTCAGCCTTTTTTATTAACTTTTTTTTTTTTTTTCCACTTTAAAAGGCAAATCCCACCTGTGGTTAACACAGAAAAGAGACAATTTACTAGAATACAGCTGATCACAAATGGCTAAAAATGTATACTAACAGAGAACAGACAAAACCGAGGCATTCTTTGATTTTTGAGAGGATGACCTTGGGGAGATTTCACTAGGACTATGGCTTGCTGAGGTGCTATATGCCACCTTAAGACCACATGTACTGCCAGCAGATAAGCTCCCGTTCAGTGCGCCATTTTGAGCCAGCTGCAGAAGTTAAGCTGTGGAAACTTGGTTATCTACAATAGTCCTGTAGGGCTTGAGGTTTACTCACTCACCATCTTCCATCAAGTGAAACTTTGTCATGAATGAATAGAGAATAGGCTTGATAGCTTTGAAAGTCACCTTCTCCTAAGAATTTATCCATATCTACTTGGCATTGAATGAGAACTTGCCTGTGTTACCAATACACATGGCAGAATTTCTCCCATGGCAATGTCACTTTTCTTGATCCATTTTCCACAGCACGCTTTAGGTCTCCTGGTGGTCTTCTCCCATGCTTCAGGAGATGAATTCACCACATAGGAGTTCATCAATCTAGAAGACACCAAGGACTGCAGATTAAGATAAATTCACTCTGCTCTTCTTCTTTCTGATCTTCTTGGGTAGCGGTGCAGTGCGCAAGGACAGGTGTAAATGAGTTGTAGGATCTGAACAGCGCCAGCTCTGAAGGTCAGGGAGAGAGGAGATCAGGCTCTGCTGATTTCTGGCAGCGAAGGTCCTCTTTCAAAAGCATCAAGAGTCCCTCTCAATGTACATCAATATGGCTATGAGAGGAGGTTAGCAAAGTCAGTTCTGTCCCTGATAAAGAGATTGTTTTCCCTGCTCTTCAGGAACAGAAAACACAGAGGTCTGTGCAAGATGCATGTGGATGTTAGTGTGTGCAAGTATAAAATGCCTATGAGAGGGGATCCAGTGTCCAGGATGTGGAGAAGTTTGCATGTGACCCCAGTGTTGGTCACTTCTGCAGAGGCCTTGAGGCAATGCTAGCAAATGGCCGTGCTTGCATGTGGCCCAGCCTGCTTCTCGGCCTCTGGGCTCACAGCCCGGCCAAAGTCCTGCACCTGCTGGGCCAGGGAGCAGGATAAGTCAAATTGCAATTCCCCAAATTGGAATCAGCATCTTCCTGCATGGAGTAAAGAAGGAAATGGGTAAAGAAGAGAGGCCTACAGAAAGTCTCCCAAGTCTCTCAGCCATAATCACCAGTTGCCCTGAGTGCAGTGATGAGAGAGGGACTAAACAGCTATTTCAGTAAAATATCATTTATTTCAGTAAAATATCATTTTTCATCTGATGTCACCCAGCGTAGACAAATGCTACCCATTTGTGCCGAGAACATTCCCTGAAATTCTGGAATTATTCAGCTGTTGTTTTTAGAAAACATTGTGCTGCAGATCTGAACAACACCATGGGGCATCACCTCGCTTCCCCAGCAAGCCGACTGATGAGAATTGCTTCGGTACACGGGTTATTTTTTAGCAGTTTGACCCTGCACCTGGGAGCCCTCACCATGAACTGTGGGTTTGTTGTGCATCTGTGCAAAGAGAGCAGCGTGACTCACCTGGACCCGAGAGATGGCAGGCTGATAGTAGCTGGGCTTGGTTGTTGTTTACTGTTTGCGTTCCTGATGATTGAGGCAGAGCAATGAGCCCAAATCTGCTGTCATTGAATGCAGATTTATCACCCATACAACGCGTGTGTTCAGCGTGGGACTGAGTTCGCACACAGCAGGTGGTACCATCACCTTTGTTTCATCTTCCCTGCGTGATTCACAGTGAGGATAGGGAGATAAATACCACACATTTAATAGCTTCAAGAATAGTTAAAAAGCAACAAGAATAACAGCAACAAAGAATGCTTCATCTTAAAGCTTCCCTGCATAAGACTGCAAAACGGGTTTGTGGAGAGCTCTGTGGAAGGATCACAGTGAGTTGGATACAGCAGAATGGAAACAGCACTTGGAATTTGGCAGGAGATTCAGGCTCCTAAAACTGCCTATGCCCTGCCACAGTCAATGGGGATCCCATTACTAGCTTGGAGAGCAGTTCGTAGATTGTCATTTGGAAAGAGTTCAAGTCAGATGGGTGAACAAAACACCAAGTGCTGTATGATGTGTAGGCTGGCCTCCTACCATCTAGGAGGGCATGGACCTCCTGTAGGCCCCATTTCTTCCTTGCTTGTCTTCTCAGTTGCCCTATGGCAAGTCAGATGTCACTGGACATGGTTTAACAACTGCAGTTAGCTCTGTGCCTCTTCTTCTCTATAGTGAGAGCCTGCACTTCCAGTGTACATGTAAGTTACACCAAGAGTGGTGTTGTCTGGAGCTGAATTCCATCATGCATGGTTAGACTGCCTTCACACTGCCCTGCGCTCTTTGATTTCTTCCCAGGAGATGTTCCTGCTGATAAAGACACCTCCACGTTACACAAAAATATTGGATACTTCAGTATTTATTGCAAATAACAATATATCAAAGCAAAGATTTACTTAAATCAAAATATGATATTGTGTTAATAATTACACAGGGAAAAAAAAAGAATATTATTAAAGCTGTAAAGTAACTGACCCACTTATAAAGATTTTTGTAAAATCTACAATAATCTCCTTTTGAAGCCTTGAATCTCACAGATTTGATTTGCTAAGAAAGAGTTCAAGAGGGATGACATCCCTACATTGGTATTTTAAGTATAAGTGGATTTTGAGTGATTGTTAAACTCTTTGGGGTCCCTGAATGAGAGCTAATGAGAGATACAAGGCCTGAATGAGGTAAATATATTATCTCCCAGCAAAGCAAAGCAGCAGGGAAATTATAAGTTAGATTTATCACTTTGAGTGTAACCCGTACCTGATTGAAATAAGTGGCAAGACTGTCTTTAACTGAAACAGGGACAGTGTTTGACCAATTCATCTTCTCCACATTTGAAGCTGTAAGGTTTGAAGTGCTTGCATATTTAAATTTTTAAAGCACTTTTGTTATTAAAACCACTTTTTTCATCTCACCACGAAAGAATAATTTCCCACTTTTTGAAGCAATGTATTTCAATAAGGCCAGCTAAAGTATTTAACAAATTTAAAGCCATTTTTAGTGGTTTTAGAATTTATTTTTAGACAGTACTTATGCAATTATCTCAATATATTCTTCCATTTGAAAATTAGACAATTATTAGAAACAGCTACTTTACAGTAGTAACAGTATTTCTCATTAGAAAAACAACAAGCTGCATATACCATTCTGGTGTCAGTTGACCTAATAGCATTCCCAAATAGTTTCATTATACATTTTCCACAGGTTTTGGGCCCTCTTGAATGCACTCAGTGTAATGGGCCTGAAACTGCCATTTGCACTAATAGTGGCCTCACAGCAGCAATCATAGTGTTGAGCATGACAGCAATGACCCTCTATTCAATACTTAAATGGTGCCCTAGCAGGCAAACTGGGCAGCGCTTGAAGATGGCTGCAATGTTGCAGCTGTAGATCCGCCATTCTGAAGGGCCAGGTTCTTCTTTCATTTCTCTAAAGAAAAAAAAAAAAGAAAAAAAAAAAAGAAGAAATAACAACTTACATGAACAGGTTTGGAGAACCTCACACCTTCAGAGGTCAACCAGTGCGCCAAGGAATTTGTTCAGTGTGAAGAAGGGAAGGCTCCAGGGAGATGTTACTGTGCCTTTCAGCACTTGAAGGGAGCTTACAAACAGAAATGTTTATATGTTTTTAAACTAGGAGAGATTTAGGTCAAATGTCAGGGGAAAATTCTTTACTGAGAGGGCAGTGAGGCCCTGGCACAGACTGCCCAGAAAGCTGTGGTGCCCCATCCCTGGAGGTGTTCACAGTCACACTGGATGGGCCCCGGGCAGCCCGAGCCGGTGGGTGGCAGCACGGCTCACAGCAGGCAGTTGGAACTGGCTGAGCTTTAAGCTCCCTTCCAATCCAAATCATTCTGTTCTATTATTTAGCTAACAGACTTGAGAAAAGGAGTGTGATGCTCTAAGCTGCAGCACCTCCACAGGCAGGGAAGCTCATGTCAATACCCGAATGATAACCAGATTTTCACCTAAATCAAGTTGAAGATCTTTGCCACCTTCACCTGTAACAAAGATTGTTGAGAGATAAACACTGTCAGGCACTTGTCTCAATTCTCACTACAAGTGGGCCATTTACACGCCTGTACAAACTAACCATTTTGGACATGTAGGTGAAGAATTTACATCACACCCATTTGATGTTCAAGAAGCATTTTAACACTCCTACTTCATCTTGCTGAGGTCAATCTGTTTTGTTAGACTTCTCCCTGATTACGTTTCTATTCCCTGCATATTTCTATTAGGCTCATCTAAAGCATGTAAGCTCAGGATGCTTGCATCCACATTCTGTTCTGATAGAGATGTAAGCACACACTCTCCCCTGTCCTTCCCCACTTCCTGTGTTTGCAGTTGCTTTCTGTAAAAATTAAATTGTATGCTAAAGACACAAAACTTAGATCCCCCATTTGAAGAATTCTTGATTGCTTTTTCTATAGGGAAACTACTCCATCCTTCAGATAACTTTAAACACATAATAATAAGATGCAGCACTGGATTCACCCCTGATAATTATGTATACTTAATATACTTCTGACAAGCAATTCTGCATTACAGTCTTTTCATCTGATTTCCCACTAAACGAGTGCAGCAGATACTTCTGCTTTTCTGTGCAATAGGGAGCTGCTGGCATTCCTTTGCTACCTCACAGGTGGTCTTCTTCATAGCAATTACAACCCGTTTTTCTAGCACTTACTTACTAGGGGATAACCTTACCCTTGAAATGAGATGTAAAAGCATTTACACCAACACCAGTATTTCTGGATGTGATTTTGCAATGAGCAACTGGGATTCTGGGAATAGCTTGGGTTTAGCAGCTGGTCAAAACTGCATTGTTTCCCTCTTGCCTCTTCAAATGCTTTCTGTATTATTGGTGACTGAGAAATCCATGTATAATTCAATTTTTTCAAGACTCTTCATCAGTGGACCATAATGACTAGACTGACTGAATAATGTGTAATTTGAGTGCATTTTGTTTGATGGCCCTCTAGAGCAGCACAGGCAGCCCCATGGCACGCGTTTGGTCTGGGGCAAACAGCAACAAGCAGCAACAAGCAGGCAGCAAGCCTCTTAACAACTAAACAGCCACCAAGGATCTGGTGAAATATAACCAATTCCAAAACAGTACTGTCCAAGTAGTCTTAGTAATGCCTACAAACATTCACTTGGGTGAACTCGGCCTGTTAGGCTGTTGTTTAGCTATGGGGAATAAAGATTAGGAGACATCAGAATTCAGGACAAGCAAGCGAGGACTGCAAACATGGAATATTTCTAAGAAAACCAAGCTCCTGAGAAGGAAAGAAGAATATTGCTAAGCAACATGAAAGCATTCAGAACTGCAGCCTCTGGTAGAGTGAAGGAATATTGAAGAACGGCAGTAAAAATAAGACAGGAAAGTCAAAGTAACAGAAGGACAAAAGCTGAGACTCAGGAAAGAGCAGCCAATGACATGATGAAAGGTGACATAGGAGAGCAGGAGGAGACTGCTAAGGGCCATTGTCCCTGGCTGCTCTGGGTGGAGAATGGGTTCTCATTGTGCCGTGTACTCTAAATCAGAATTTGTTTTTGCAGTTGTTTTCCCCATCACGTTTTAAGGTGAAGTTAAGTTGAAAACCCTTTCCTGCCCAGAGCCTTGTCTTCCCCTGGATGAGAGCAACAGAGGGACAGCTGCTCCTGGGCTGGCTTTGCACTGCAACCACGATCTTGACAAGCGCTTCCAACACCCAGGTTTGTTTCCATCTCCCTTCTGCTACCGCTGGCGGATGTGCAGTGCCGCACGTCAGAGCAGGCAACCCACACAATGGAAAACCCAGCTGGGTCTGTTGGCAGCTCTGCTTCCTCATACTGGCCCCACCACTGCCACAAGGCAGGAAATGGCCAAATGGATTTATGGGGGAATAAAGTACCTGTGTAGTCCTGTCCACAGCAACTACGATTTCCTCCTGATGAGACTGGAAAGAAAAGGCAAGCCTGAAATCAACTGAAATAATAGACAGTGTAGCTAAATCCAGTTCTGCAATCCTATATTTTTAATTTCAGATACAATATGAATTTCTAGGTAGCAATTGTGAGTCCACTTCCAGCTCACCAGTAAGTGAATGTGTGCAGCAGAATGTTAATCTCAGAGGAGCATGGGGAAGCAAAGCATAGTAATCATGCACAATACTAAGTATTTCCTGGGTAATATAAGGCTATAGAATGCAATAACTAAAAGATCAAACATTTAATTTCAAACCTTTATCTCTCAGTAAGAGCTGAACGTTTCCCTGGGACTGCTCCACGAAAGCAGCTCGAGGCTGCTCTCTAGAGGTGGGAAAAAAAAAAAAAAGAGCTTTGAGTTCAAGACTTTGTTGAAGCAGACTTAAGCACATCATGCAGGGCAGCAGAAGTCCTTAATGAATCTACACAATACAACAGCTAAAAAACGCTGTTTTTAGAATAACCGAGCACAGGCCAATAAATAGCAAACAGACCTATAACAGCATGCACGTTCACTTTTTGTTTTTTTAAACTCTAACATGAATGCTACAGTATTGCCAAACAGCATTTGCTACTCAAAGCTGGCTCTCCATATACTTAGTCTCCCCTGTAGATTTCTTCATACAAAACAGCTGTGCCCTCTGTGCTTCCCCACAAACTCTCTTCTCACTGGAGAGAAAGAAATTGCACATATTCTTCCAAGCCCAAAAGTTTCAGAGAAGCATAATGCTGCAATAATTTGCTTATGGGCTCAAATGAAGCTCAAGAAAGAGAAGATCGAATTCATAGAACAGAATCACAGAATCATAGGATTATCTCAGTTGAAAAAGACCTTCAAGATCACTAAGCCCAACCATCCACCTGACCTACCAAGTCCAATCACTAAATCACATCCCTCAGTGCCAAGTACACTCATCTCCTAAATACTCCACCACTTCCCTGGGCAGCCCATTCCAGTGCTTGGCTGCCCTCTCCATGAAAAAATCCTTCTCTATGCTTGATCTAAACCTTCTTGGCACAATGAAGTTGCACTAGCAGGAATTCATATATTACACTTGTTTTCCTTGGCTGTACAAAATGCAAATGCTGACCTTTGCAAGATTAAGGTGTCACAATTTACTCCAGCAGTAATTCTTGCAGTGACATTACAGAAAGGGCAGGAGTTGATTCACTTGTACTAAAGCACCATTAAAAAGATCCCATCCCCACCGAGTGAAGGGTGCTGCCATTTGCTTATGACTCATCTCACATACTGTGTCCTAAAGATATGAAAGTTAGTGTAAGATAAACTGTGCACTATACAGTATCTGCGTGGAGGCAAATACCAAGCTGCTGGCAAATGTTAGCCTTGTACACTAAGAATCAAACCTGTTAGGTGGAAGACAAACTGCCTTTATTGACATAAGTGATGTGCAGAATTCAAGCATCCTTTCCACAGTGTGAATTCTACTAAAATAAAGTCAAACCAAATTCATGTACCAGGCATCTGATCACCTTCTCACCACTTCTGTTCCTGGACCAGTCCCTGTGGGCCATGGTTTTCTGCATCTAATAGTTAAGCAGGACAGAGATGCATTCATCTTTCAAAAAGCTTTCAAAAATCAAAAATACCCCTATGAACATTAACACGGAGGTTTAAAAGCAGAGTGTTTTAACATACTGCTATATTAAAAAGAAAACAGAACTGCCCCGAACCAAAGAGCTGGCATCTGCTGGTCACCCTGGTTTGCTGTGTGTAGCAGCTGTAGTCCTTAAACCAAATGCAGTCCCAGAATGAGATTCCTGAATATTGCAGGAGCACTCACACGCCTGTCTCTGCTCAAGAAAAATTAAAACAATTAAGACCAACTTTAACATTAAAAAAAAAAAAAACAGTAATTCAACATGTCACCATACTGCCTATGTCTGTCACCTCGCCTGATACAAAACCTCTTTTGAATGCCTATTTACTGTTTGCCCTTCTAGGACACAGAAGAACAGGAATTCCTCTCCGTGCCTGGGAGCTGTAGCCATCTTGTACAGGATTTCCCTCCCTGCTAGTTGACCACCAGCCTCCTGGTTGTTTCTTCCCAGACGCACAGCTTTAGGCTTCTGTCTGCTGAACGTCACACGGTTCTCATCAGCCTGTTTCTCTTCCACTGTGCCGAGGTCGCCGTGAATGGGAGCCATGGGGTCTGTCAGCCACTCCTCCCAGTTCTACGTCATCAGAAAACTTGCTAAGGGTGCACTCTGTCCTGACTGGGTGCCCCAGTACTGACCCGAGGGCACACCACCACTGGTACCCACTTGGATGGCCTTCATGCCATGGATTACACCACTCTGACCTGTCCCCTCATCTAGCTTGCATGTTCTCACTGTCCAGTTCTCCCTAACAAACATCCGTATTTGCTCCTCTTCCTCCCAGCTCTCTACTTCCCTCCAGTCCAGGTGATCCTAGAACTCACTGAAGGGATTGTTTTCTAATACAACTTCATTACTACAACCTATTTGTGAGTCTTTAAAAGCTAACCATCAACATTTCAAGATTCTTATTAAAAGTTTGGTGCGTTGCTATTTTGGATACTTCTGCTGTGCAGCAGCTGTCTCTCCTTCTCAGATTTCAACTATTTCCAGCCATGTAAATGGTAAAAATCCACATGTGCCTGCTTTCCCTATTAGGCCATCAATCACCTGTTGTTACTTATTATAGTACAAATCAAATTTCCATACCACTCACATTCCAGAGAAGACCATACTCTTCATTTCTTCCACAAATTCCTTTTTACCTTAATCACTTGGCATGCTTCTCAGAGATGGAATGAAAGTTTTCCATTTTTATACACTTTAAACCTTGTTCCACTTGCCACAATTATTTTAAGAACTGCAGAAATACATTAAACCAAATCAAAAGGAGATTCTTATTGTAGCATTTTCTTATAAGTTAAATCTAATACAGACCACCTCCCGTTCCTGTACCCAAATTATCCTTCTTCACCCCTAGGAAGGCCCAACATTATCGGACATCTGTTATTCCAAGGCTGGCCCTCCTCACAACTCCTCACAAACAAAATCAACCACTGCAGCCCTAAATAACTCCAGCCCAGACACACCACTGAAAGGAAGTTCACAGCAGCCACTTCCCATCTCAGTCCTAAGTCAGTTTTAAAGGGTACTGCAGTTGTTATTATATATTTAGCAACTGAAATACATAGTATGTTAATAGCAGGTGTGACAATTGGTACTAAAATAAACCCCTCTCTATGAATACACTAAATGGCAGTTGTCACATGTATTGTATGGTAGGAAGGATGTCACAACAAGAAAAAAGTAGCAAAGGGTGTCTAATAATTCAAAGCCAGAAAGCAGCCCCAGGCTGCAAGCGATTGCAAAGAATGCAATAACTAAGATATCAGAGGGCTGGAGCACCTCTCCTATGAGGAAAGGTTGAGGGGACTGGGATTGTTTAGCTTGGAGAAGGCTCCAAGGAGACCTCATTGTGGCCTTCCAGTACTTGAAGGGAGCTTATAAACAGGAGGGGGAATGGCTGTTTACAAGGGTGGAGAGTGACAGGACAAGGGGGAATGGTTTTAAACTGAGACAGGGGAAGTTAGATATTAGGAGGAAGTTTTTCACACAGAGGGTGGTGACACACTGGAACAGGTTGCCCAAGGAGGGTGTGGATGCCCCATCCCTGGAGGCATTCAAGGCCAGGCTGGATGTGGCTCTGGGCAGCCTGGTCTGGTGGTTGGTGACCCTGCACACAGCAGGGGGTTGAAACCAGATGATCTTTGTGGTCCTTTTCAACCCAGGCCACTCTATGATTCTGTGAATGCAGAATTATTTGGGAAAAAAACCCAACATATTAGTATTGGTTGTTAGCATCCCACCTTACCTTCACTTGTGGAAGAATCATCTCAAATCCTGAGAGTCACGAAGATATAAATAAGACAAACATTCATACACAGGTCTGGTGAGCAGTCACCACACTTGCGTATTTTTGCCCAGTGAAAGAAATACCTACAACTCTTAACAGTATTTGTGTTTCAGCCAATGGCATTTTTGTGCCAATGCAGGCAGGATGCAGCACTGGATTTAAGCCATAACACATCGTTTCGGTTCAGACACAGCCAACTGCAATTAGATGTTGCACAACAAAGTGACACATTTGCACACATATGTTTATTTTTTCCTGTGTGCTTACAGTGCTTCAATTGTAATTTTACAACATTCAGAAAGCACAATTTCATACCAATCTTACATACTTTACATCACAGTTCAACAATGTTAACACGTGTATCTACTAAATCAAACAAACAAAATGGCCATAAACATTTACACTATTCTTCTGTAAACAATTTTTTTTAATAAACAGTGGGGAATGGAATTAACACAGATCACGTATGAAAGAGGAATGACCTTTCCCTTAAATAAAGCACTCTGTTTATAAATACTTCAATTCTCTCAATATACATTTACAGACGTTTATTTAAAAGCAGGTTACTACACTTTCCTTTAAAAAGAAAATGTCTATAGATGGACCACTGCGCTTAAAATTCACCTAACATAAGAAGCAAGCATATGGTTAGTAGAGTGTTAAAGGTATTACTTCAACCTCACTTCTGTTTGTTCACACCAACACAGGATTGTCACGTTAGGGAATTTTTACTTGAATTCCAGTAAATTGCAATCGATCTTGTAGTACACATACGGGTAATACTCCTGCTGACTGAGGTTTAAGCCTGGAATATCCATAGTTGCCTGCAAATAAGTTTTGAAGCTGGTTAGACTCGTACAACTTGGGCTCCTACTCAGAAATTGATATAAACATTCAGATGTTTGAGAAGGCAATCAGTCAAGACTTCAAGCTTAAACATTCACTTGAAAATGGGAAATTAGGTAACAAACAAGTTATGACTTTGAGAAAATGAACCAAAACCTTAACATCAACTTTGCATCAATAATTCACACCCGTTTCGTTAGTAAACACACTGCCACCAAAAGGAAGGGAAAGGACTCCAATTATGTTCTACTACTCCTAAACTCAGCCAGCTCACACAAATAATGTTACAAGGTACTGATCCAAGAAGCTACACGAAGCTTAGCACCTCTCACTTTAATCATCCCACATTTCCTTCTCCACCAAAATGTCTCAAAATATTTTGGAAAAAACATTAAATATAACTAAAAGATTTCCTTTGTAATTGAACTCACTATGTGATAATTTTTACTCAATTTTTAACTATGAAAAGCACTGCTTTTCAATATAAAATTGAAGTAGTTCAATAAGTCTCCCAACAAACCAGTTTTAAACATGAATATAAGACATGAAAGTGGAACAGATGACTCCATCTGCACAATTTATATTTCGTTAGCAGAGAAGAACAATGACATGAGCTCAAAAATACAAATTAGCAACTAAAGAAAACTTCACTTCATTATTTTAAGACCACTGTTACCTGAGGCAATGGATAATTTAAATATTTCTTAAAGGGTCAAAAACAAGATAGGAAATGCATTCAAGTTTCTAAGCCTAATTTCAGATCAAAACTCCCTTTGATTCTTTGAGGATGTGAATAAGTATCCATTCTGCAAGACATCCTTCCATTGGTAGCAAGAAAGAATGCAGTAAGAAGTGAAACAGAACTACACCAGACAGCTCTTAAAACACATTGCTTGCAACTTTACATACTATCTCCTTCGCAAAAGTGTAAGACAGAAGCTGCATTTTTATATGGAGACAGTTTTTTGTACCATAGAAAAAAATAAAAATGAAGAGATGCAGCTTTTTAAGAAGCTAGAAAACTTTTTTTTTTTCTTAATCACAATAAACCTAAGAGAAGCAATTACAAAAGCACTTACATCAATGATAGCTGCTGCACTGCTGTCGAGATGTTTATATAAGTCATACAAAACCTCCCTCAGTTTCTTCATTGTTTTCTTATTAGGCTGAAGCAGCATTGCTTGGAAGTTCACCGGCAAACCATACCTACAGAAGTTAAGCAAACAAGAGATGAAATAAGCTCTCTTCTATGAAATGTATTTGATATTGAGAAAGAATCCTCCTGCTGATGAGGAAAGTCCACTCATTTCTATTTCTGCACAATCACTGTTTGCACCGCACACAGTAACACATGAAGCAGAACTTCCTTCTTCAAGCTTAAAATAACAAAACACCTTTTAAAATCCACGTGCTTTACAAAATTCTCAAAACATTACCTGAAGCTTTGAACACTTCCATGAATTTACTAGCAAGACTACCTTTACACCACTAGGTGGAGCGTCCAGTTTCTATTCCAGCCACCTTTCTAGATGTGCAGAAATATCTGCCAATATTCAAACTAAGTCAAACTGCCTTCTTTACTTTCAGATTGCCTTCAAAACAAGCCTGCAGCACTACGAAAAACAAATCAGATTGCAGGTTTGCAAGGTTGCAAGGCCTTTTCTGAAGGCATCCTTGACAACAAGTCTTAGCAAAACTAACTTCAAAACACCTTTTGGTTTTCTGACTGAGTTCTTTCTGCTCTGAAAAAAACCCAGGTCTGTTTGAACTACTACAGCAATGTCAACTCATTAGCTATGCTTCTGGATGGTATGAAGAAAAACAAAGAGAAATCTTACAGTTAAAATACTGAACAAGAAAACTACTGTGTACTAGCACACATTTCAAGATGTCAAACTGTACTGCTACTCAAAGCCTCAAAACTTTTTATTCTGAACTATCCACACTAGTCACTTAAACACAAGCTATAGTAAGCTCTTTTTACAAGCAGCTCAATTAAGCAAGCTAAAAAATACAACAGAAATGTCTTGCTACAATGGACAGACAACTCCCCTAAAGCACTGAAGGAATGAGATGAAGTTATCTACCTCAGATGTTCCACATCTGGCAACAAGAGCTACGCCAACAGTTGTTCTTGCTGCCCTACTCCACTGTTTCCTCCTTTGTGGAAGAGTGGCATTAACAAAACTCAAGCAAGTGAAGCCAAGCTAGATGTGCTTTTCTTCCTAGAATGTTCTGTTCAGGCCTGTCTCATTACCTTAGAACAGATTCAACAAAAACTCGGAGTGCTTTCACATGAATCCAAGCAATGAAAGCTTCACTGAAATTAACTTTCAGCCATCGCACCAGAGGCCCCTGTAAAAGAGAAAAAAATCCTCAGGAAGTTTCAGACTACTAAGGACACTTCAGCAGATACTCAATATTTGTAGTGTGACTGATGAATTAAAGGTAGAGTTTGCTATTGACATAATGGCTCAAGGGTGATTTTGCACAAAGCAAAGATACATTTAACAAGGCTTGGTTATCTCTTCAGTACATCATCCCACTTGTTATGGTCTAACTGTATAAAAGGCCATTTTAATATCTGATTATTCCATTCAAATGTTTGCCCACTTGCAGATTTCACATATTTTTAGCTGCAATACCAACACTTGGTTCAGCACCGTTATCCCTGAAAAGATTAACCAGGTGGCAGGCTGACCTGATGTGTCATCCCTGCAATGCTCTCAGAATCACAAGCTCATGAAATCGCTATGTAGCAATAACAAGTCCTAGACATCTTAGGTTTCTGCAATGACTAGCCTGCACAGACTTACAAACTGTTTCTTCTTGTCGGTTGACAGTCTGTTCATTTCTTCTTTATCAGCTTTCATCTCTTCTTCGTTATACTGGAAGTCACGGACCAGAAATCTGCATTTGGAAGTGAATACAATCAGAAGTAGCTATCCAGAGATGCTTCAAAGCACAAGAGAACACATAAAAATAAGACTCACTTGTATTCTCTGGCTTTATGCTTGAAGTCGTCCACTGCCTTCCTGAACAAGGTGACGTTACAAAGGTAACTGTCCTGATCCTCAAAGAGCACACTACAGAAAAATGAAGTTAGAATTAAGGTTCAAGTCATTAAAGACCTGAAATACAGTGGCTTAACTTGTACTTCGTGGCTACTTAGACCGGAACATAATTGTAAATAGTCACATGGGATGAGTTCCCAAATTAAACACCCTCTACAGAAAGTAACAAGAGCTTTAGCAACCATTATTAATTATTTCCTTTATAAAGAGTGACACTTTACCACACAGAAGCACTTCATACGTCTAGGGATTGGTTCAAATTAAAATCATTTTACTCTAAAAAGAAGTAGATTTGACTTAATACTGAAAAGTTTAGACTACAGAATTCTTAAACATACGTTCTAAAGAAAAAGGGAATAAGGAAGCTGGTGTTAATAAGTGTTTTTTAAAGAAGATGCCTAGATTTACTATTTTATGCTTCCACAGAATCACAGAGGTTGGAAGGGACCTCAAGAGATCATCGAGTCCAATGCTACAGCAGGTACCCCTACAACAGGTCACACAGGCAGGTATCCAGATGGGTCTTGAATATCTCCATAGAATAAGACTCCACAACCTCTCCAGGCAGCCTGTTCCGACACTCTTACCATAAAGA